CTTGGGGGCGATGCTCCACAAATCAGCCTCCCAGTGCGGGCTTTGACGCACGCCAGACCCCCGAGGCCCCAGAGGTCGCCGAGTGGGGTCCGGAGAAAAGGTGGGGCGGCCGGGGACGCGGTGGGGCGAGTCCGGGGGAGCTGGGGAGCCAGCCAGCGGGAGGGGCCACGGGGGGGGGGGGGTAGGCGGGACCTGCAGAACCAGCTCTTTTTCCAGTAGCCGTGACCCCCTGCAGCCAGCTTGACACGCTCGTCTTTAAAAGGCTCCCTGCCCAGGGGAGAGAATTTTATGAGTCTAAGTTCACTGACGTAAAGAAAAAAAAACCGCTGCAATCTTGATAAATAACTGGACTACTTAAGATCGAATAAAACTAGATACAGAGATAAGAAAAATACTTTCTGAGGCGTTCAAGCTGTGTCCTTACACATTTAATTATATTACATTTCCGTCCAGTAAGGGTGATACAGGTGGAAGATGGTCTGAAAACCATCATAACAAACTATTTCATCCCCAGCCAAATCATCTAGTTCACAGGAAAGTACACACACACACACACACACACACACACACACACACACCCCAAGTTAAAGAAAGAAAAAAAACTACGTGAAGTGACTTCCAATGAGGAATTTTACCTCAAACAGGGACCGCTGTCAAAAATGTGGAACTCCACCGGTGACCGGTACTTGGCTGCTGTCTGCAATGCCTCAGCTTCTCCGTGGTGTCTAGATGGTTGGAATGATGAAACGGAACAATTGCGCAGGAGAAAGGTTACACAGTAAATACCTTTCTAGAGCTTCTTGGGAAACAACCAGCAAAGACAAATGGCTTCCTCCGCAGGTCAAGACTCCTGGTTTGGCACTTGTCTTAATGGAAACTTTAATTCTTGGAAATTTCATGTATTTTCCAAGACCCAGGGCAGAAAGCATATGGGCATTAAAAAAAAAACTCGTTCATTTAATTATCACAGGACCTAAAATTGGTCTTTAATGAAGACAGAAAAAGAACATTTTCCCCCTTGTGGGTAAATCTGTTTAACCCCTTCAATCCTGGAGAACCTAGTCTGATAGTGGTAACTCCTCTCTACTGTGGTTAGCTTTTACAGTAAATTATGTGGTAGTTTTACTGCAAGTGTGTGGGGATCAATTGGTACAGTTAATCCCCTCATTGTACTATTTCACAACTGAGTTTGGTACTAAGTATGCCCTATTATTTTAGCCCAGGTAACATTCATTGAACACCTGCTTTGTAAGTTTTTTTCAGGTTTATATCATAGTTTCTGTTCTGAAGAGGCAGACAGTTATAGTAAAGAGAGAAAAACTTTGGCAATGAACTCTAATACAAGCAAGAATGTGATTAGAAATGCCATGAAAATTCAAACGAGAGATTGAGACTAAAGAGACTACGAAAACCTCTGTGGATTATTGGGCATCTGATTTAGTCTTTGAAACACCCAATGTATTTGCAGTACATAGAAAAGCAGAGAAAAGACCTTCTAAACAGAGGGAAAAAGGTTAGGGAGTCTTGACAGGAGTGATTCATGTTTTATTAACAAACTAATTACACCCGTTTTGATGAAGCAAGGTCAGCAAGCCAGCAGGATTTCTGAGTCCATTCCTCCCTGAGTGCATCCTATCACTAACCCTCTCAACACATAATGGGTTATCCATGACCTTGTCCCTTCACCTCCACACACACAGGGTTGCTGAGGAGCAGGGCTGTGACTTGCTTATTTTCACATCACAGACCTCTAGCACAGGTCAAATTACAGAGTTGCTCAGAGAATCCTTTTGAGTCCATTAATGGAAAAATAAGTTTGGAAAGCACTTTGAGACCTTAAAAAAATCACGGACAACCATAAATGCTCCATAAAGGAGCCTAGGCAGTTCTGCAATAGGTAGTGCTAAGCCATAGGAAGATTTTGATCAGAGAAAACACAGCACGTGCCTGCTTCAGGAGGACTGATCAGGAAGCAGAGGCTACTGTTGCTAATAGAGCCCTCCAAGATTATGTAACTGGCAGGCAGAAGGAGACACTGGAAACTACTGTGTTAATTAGAGAAGGAATGAGCTTCCAGGGCTAATAAGCAAGGTCCGTGGGCAATATACAAATATCTACAAAAGGAATGCTGTACAAAGTCAATAACAGGGAGAGGGAAAAGACACAAAAGCATTTGAGATCTTGCTTTTTGGCAATTGATATCAGTTTGGCTCAAATAAACACGTATAAAAATTCTCATCATGGGTGAAAAACTTGAAGGGATTAAAAAGTACAAATTGGCAGTTACAGAACAGTCACAGGGATGTAAAGTGCTGCATAGAAAACATATAATATTCTAATAACTATGTGTGGTTTCAGAGGGGTGTGAGATTTATCAGGATAATCACTTATTAAGTTAAATAACATCTAAGCACTGGGGTGTACACATGAAACCAAAATAATGTATGCCAATTGTAATGGGGAGACAAGATAGTAGGAAAACCGAAATGAGAAGGGGTGAACTGCTGAGGAGAATTGTGAGATTCGCAACAAATAAATTCATGCCTGAATCCTAAGAAAAGGCTGGTCTCTTGCTGTAATGCATACTCAGGACTCAATATTTCTGTCTAATGAGATATATTCTTCAAAACATGCCATTTTAAACCATCTTGACTTGTTTTAAAGTGACAAGATATACCTTACTTTTTATTAGTCAATATTTAGGTTGATTAATTCAAAATAAGTTCACTAATATATACATAATAAAGGCCAAAATTTAAGACATTAAAGAGTAAATTTTGACAATAGAATACCTAAAAGCAAATAGCCATACAGAAAACTGCATGAATGTGTACTGTAAAAATGTTACGGGTTTCTTTCTTTTTTCCCTCTTTCCATTCCCTTCCTAACATTTTTTTAGACCAACCCTGTATGCATTTTTCCTTTAACCAGTTTTTCTGCCCTGGATGGGAGCTGCATGAACACACACTTCGTTGTTATCACTGTACACCCAGTATCTGGACTCGTGCCTAGCTCAGAGTAATAGTTAATGAATAAATACTTGTCAAATGAAGGAAAGAAGGAATAGTGCTCAAAAGTTGGCATTTCTCTCTTTCTCGCTTTAACTCTCCTCTCTCCTTCCTTTATGGTATTGCAACCATTACTCACAGTTCACACAGGTAATCCGAAGTCTGGAGATCTCTCTGACCTGTGGCCTTCCCCATCTGCAAAGATCCCCTTTGTCGTTACCTCTCCCTTCTCTCTACCTCATTGCTTTCCTCCCTTCCAACTATCCACTCCTTGCTTCCTCAGCAAATCCCCTAAACCACTCCAGGTCAGCAGTACTTAAAGTATTTGGCACTTGCGGGCTGTGTTTCTCTTTGTAACTTGATTTTGAGCTGACTGGAAACATCTGTAACCCTCAAATGTCTTTCTGGACAAATAGTAGGTGCTCGAAAAGTATTTTTTATTGATTGATCTCTAGTTTTTCCCCATTTGGCCCTTCCTTTTCTCATATTATGGTCCGAATAGTGAACATTTACATTTTCCTCTGAAAAATTTGTAGAGGAAATCAACTACTCTTTTAAGAACCCATTTACCTCTTCAGGCTTATTTTTTTTGTTTACTTATATAATTACTATTTTTCTGTCATCCACCGAAATACATGTATTTCCTTAACTGTTTTATACTTCCCCTAGTTGTTTTTTTTTTTTCAGCATATAGACTTATTTGTGTACTACTTCTAGGGGATACCAGTAATAAGTTGAGAAAAGAGCTATAAATAATTTTTAAAATCTTAGGATTTTCTTCACTATTTAGGAATCTGGGTGGAATCTGTTTATGTTGCATACCAGAGAAATTTACACAACTGGAAAGCAATTCAAGAATATCTGTCCACTCATAAGTAAATATCTGTTAAGTTTCTTTTAGACCACACGAGCATTTTATTGTTGGATGAAAAAGTTTCTGCTGTTCTCATTAAGAAACCGAGTTTGTCAGGGGCTCTCAAACAAGAGAAAAAAAGCATTAGGCTGATGCTTTACCCAACTGTTTGTTCCTCTGAAGAGCAAGTACAAATCAATAAAGTCCATGAAAGTATTCTTGAGATAAAGGGTGAAGTCTTTGCATATGATGAACTTGAGCTTAACTGGACTTGTTAATTTTGAATTCTTGGATTTCCTAAGCCATAATGGACGTAAGACATTTGGATGGTCTTCAAAATGACAATGGAAACGATTTATGGTAGTGGCCCAAATAAAGTCTGGTCTATCTGCTTGGTATGCTGCTTTATTAGTGTCCTCATATAAACCACATATTGGAACATATTGCTTTGGAATCAGCTTAATAAAACTGTTACATAAACTAGTAATCAAAACAGCATGTTATAAACTCACTTTTTTGGAGTTATCATGAAATGGGAATGACAATATAACTCTTTGTACTTATCTGTTCCAATGAGTTCAGAGAACACATCGTTTTGAGGTATATATCCATTTATACACAAAAAAGTCTCACTCTTCTTTAAATTAGGTCACCTCATTTTTTAGTGATATCCATCAGAACCATTCATGAAAAAGACCTTCATCCACCTTGTGTGCTCAATTATTTAATATTATGCCTGTGCACAGGTGTGAATCAGCAAGTCAGGAAGGGGACTTTTATAACACTCACGACCTTTCGATACACCTCTAGATGAACAAAACAAACTCCCTGCTCCAGTGCATTCTTGGGGAGGAAGCCATTAGCAAGCAAGTAGACAATTAACATATCATATAATTATCAATGATGCCAAGATTTATAAAGAGAGTACGTCAGGATAAGGCTTGAAAGTAACTGAGGCCAGAGACCAGCAATCTTACATGGAGTTAAGAAAGGACTTCTTTCGAAAGGTGACATTTTGGAAAAGGATTAGCCAGATGATAAACTGAGGAAAGAGTGCATCAGGCAGCCCATGAGCAAGCGTCAAGGCTTTGAGGCAGGAAATAGCTTGGTGTGTTCAAGGAACAGTCATAATGCAATATGTCGGGTGAAGGGGAAGGGGAGGAAAATCAGGAGAGAGATAAGGAAAGTGGGAAGTGTACTCACATGTACCCAGTGAATGAAGTTCGAGAGCTTGGCTATGAAAAACGTCGACCTAATCTTCGAGGCAGCTATATGTTATGTTATCTTCTTCATTTTACACACGAGTCAGTTACAGTATAGTTAGATGACTTGCCTAAAATCAAAGAGCATATAGGTGGAAAGTTACAACCAACTCAAAACATCCGATCCCAAATCCTGTGCTTTTCTCACTAAAAAGTACCTCAAAGGAATGATTAGTAATCTATGGTCCAGCTGCCCCCACCCCCCCAGAATTTTATTGAGCAAGAATAAAATAATACAAAATCTGTGGCCCTCAAATTAAAATATCTTTAACAAGAAGGCAGAAATACTTCTAATAAAATGAGGCAGGTTTAAAAGTTCTCCCTGGAGCTTCTCTCTCCTGCTCAGGTATAAGAAGCTCATATGATTGTTGTGAGAATTCGAAGACACAATCCATACAGTGCTTAGGATAGAGACTGGTCTGTGCTAAATACTTAAAAAATGTCAGGTCCGCCCTGGCCCGGTGGCTCAGTTGGTTGGAGCCACATGGCACGCACCAAAAACGTTGCAGTTCTAACCCCAGTCAGGGCACGTACCTAGGCTGCAGGTTAGATCCCTGGTTGGGGCATCGACAGGAGGTAAGCCATCAATAGTTCCTGTCTGTCTGTTTTTTCTCTCTGTTCCTTTCCCTCTCAAATCAATAAACAATCCTCGGGTGGGGATAAAAAAAAAGATGTCGGTTCTTATTCACACATTAGGGCTGATTTTGGCTTGGTGATGGTCAAAAAGATCCCGCAGTTGGAGTGGAGGTGGGAAGGGAGGGAGATACAGATTTATCCTCCTGTATTATGTAAATATCTTTCCCAATCTAAGACTGAGAAAAGAAAACATAATATAACTTATAGACGTGAATATTCTTTCTGATAGCCGACCAACCTTCAGAGTGCTGACCAGTACCCATACAGGTACCTCCTCAACTCTGAAATTTAACCAATACCTTGGGGCTGCACCGGAGCCAGTCAAGACACTGGTCCTAGAAATAAGGGCCCAGGAAACCAACACGTCTGTTTTACTCTAATTGTGTCTTCAAGAGAAAAACGGTTCCTTCGGTCAAGTGGAGAGTACCTGTCCTAAACATTTTCTGCTGGGAAGGTACAAAATGCTAGTACTAAATAAAGCTGATAGGGTCTTTTCCAAGAGAAGAGAGGAATGCTGTCCCTGCTCATTTTTCCAGGCCTTGACATTGTGCCTGGATGTTCCTGTGCCAAAGAAAGGCAAGTTCTCATGAGCCTGGGGGCTGTCTTGCTATAGGAACTCTTCACAGGCATTCCTGAAGCTCTCTGGGAAAGAACAGTTCCCAAGAACACCCTAATCTATTGCTAAGCTTTCACGTCACTGTGTTATGAAAAATCAGTGACTCATGCAGTGCTTGGAAAGAGAAACTTGACATTTTCCAGAACTCTCTGTAGGATGACTCCTTATTGCCACCTTTCAAAAATGCCAGCTGCAGAAGGGATTACAGAGGTTAGAAGTTTTAAAGTGATATTTGGACTCATTGGCTCCCAGGATCACTCTCCAGGACTTCTTTGCTTTCTCTTTTTTTGGCTGCAAAATGACCTGGATTTTCCTTTAGGTAAAAACTAACTGTGCCAGAAAAGCTTTCATAAGGTCATTTTTGTAAAAAAGTTCATACTGGAATTAAATATTGCAATATTTGTTGATAATTTAAAATGCCATTTACCTCATTGTTAGAATAAATGAGGTAATTAAATGATCTCCTCTCTGTAAACCTACACAATTTTGAGTTAATATTTTTTTATTTTTTGTTTTTTATGTAGATTTTATTGATTATGCTATTGCAGTTGTCCCATTTTTTTCTCCCCTCTATCCCTCTCTGCCCTGTACCCCCTCCTTCCAGCATTCCCGCCAACCTTTGTTCATGTCCATGGGTCATACATATAAGTTCTTTGGCTTCTCCATTTCCTATACTGTTCCTAACCTCCCCCTGTCTATTTTGTGCCCACTAATTACCTTTTTTTTAAAAAAATGAGGTTGCATGGAAGATACAAGCTGTTGTTCAAGTTCGCGGAGCTTTAGCATCAAAAAGATGTGGATGGAGTCAGTGATCATTTCTGACATTCACGTGGTTGGTGGCTTTGAACAGTGTACTTGACTCTGAGCCTCATATCCAGATCTGTAAAATGAGGACTAACTCTCAGAGCTGTATAGATTAAATGAGGTGAGTATGTAAAGATTTTACCACAGGCCAATGACTCTTAGAACATAATGTTTTCTAAAACAGTTGTAACTGTCACAAGTTCTTTAACTAGTATTTAATTAATTTATTACTTAAATTTCTTCTTAATCTGCATTTGTTAGTACTTTTGGATGAATAGTAAATAACAAGCATGCTTTTCTTCTTAGTGATTTTGAGAAAATGCTCCCCAAATATATAATTTATATAGTTACTGTTTCAAGAAAGTGTGCCTTTTCTATTTTTCTATGTTTTTAAAATCAATGATGAATGATGAATTAGATAAAACGCCTTTTTAGCCTATACCAAAGTGATCTTTTTTCTTCTTCTTTAGCCAATTTGATGTGATGAATGAAGTCACTAGATCTTCAAAAAATGCTGAATTTATTGTTACATTCCTGAGATGAACTCCGTTTGGTCATGGTGAATTATTATCTTCATATAATGCCAGAATGCTTTTGCACATATTTATTTAGGATTTTTGCATAAGTGTTTATAAGTGAGATCAGTCTGTATTATTTGTTCTGCATTATCTCTGCATTATGAGTCTTTGTGAAAAGAATTGATGCATATTTTTTCTCCATAAATTGGAATACTTGAAACAGAATATGGATTAGCTTACTCCTTGAAAATGCAATAATTTTGAAATCAACTGAGTCTGAAACTTTTTAGGAATAGTTCTTGGCTCTTTGACTTCTCTTCATTCTGTTTTTCCCCTCTGGGATCCCTATTTCAGACCTTCCAATACTACCCTCCTGATTTTATTTCTGATAGTTCTTCATATTTTCTGTCAGCTCTTCTGACAGAAATTGTTTCCGATGGAAAGAATTCCCTCATCATCTGAGCTTAATTGCTGTTTAATCTGTCCGTTGAATTTTCAATTTTAATTTTAGTAACTTCTTTACTTTCTAGAAGTTCTATTTAGTGATTTTAAATTAATTCATGCTTTTCCCACCTTTAAAAAAACCTGCATATGCCATCACATAATTACCACACAAATCACAGGTCAAAATAGAAGACACATCTATTCCCCTACAGTATTTCCTTCTGGTTCTTTCTTTTTTTAATATATTTTATTGATTATGCCATTACAGTTGTTCTATTTCCCCCTTCTGGTTCTTTCCAGACCAGACTGCTCCTTCCCAGAGCTAACTTGATTATGACGTTTTCACTACCCATTTGTTTGCTCGAGACTGAGCTTCGTACGCATGGAATCATACCATGGGTACTCTTTAGTGTTCACCTTCATTCCCTCAACACAGTGTCTATTAGATTTGGTCATGTTGTTCTAGATTCCAGCAATAGAATTTTACTGTCTGAAGGAACCATCATTTATTTACCCGTGCTCTTATCGATGGGCATTTGGACAGTGCTTTTTAAAAAAACTATAATGAATTAAGCTGCTATGAACAATTCTGAACAAGTTTTTGTGGACATAAGCACTCATTTCTCTTGGATGCATGCCCAGGAATGGAACCATTGAGTCCTGGTAGAGGCAGACACATTGCGTTAGTAGGAACTGCCAGTTTCCCACGCTGGCAGGGCCATTTACAATGCTATCAGCAGTGTTTGAGGGTTTCAACTTCACCAGCACTTGGCATTGTCAGTCCCTGTAGTTTTTGTCATTGTAGTGGTCAGGTAGCTATTTTATTTGCATTCCTGATAAAGAATGAGGCTAGCACAGCTTCCCATGCTTAGTAACAAACACATATTTTAAGATCTCTTTTATATTGTTTTATTATGTCTAGTTCTTGTGCTAAGATTCTTATTTGTTGCGTCTCTTGATTCTAATTATGGTGGTTCATTTTTTCATGTAGTTGTAATTTGAATGCGAGTTCATCTGAGTTACTTTCCTCCCCAGGAGAGGTAGGTTGGACCCAAATACACTGACTGATGTTGCATTTGCCCTTTCCAGAACCCCAGGGATATCTATAGTCTGGAACTATTTGATATGATATCTCAGCTTGAATATACAACTTCACCATTGCAAAGTTGGAATCATATAAAAATATTTTAAGAGAAAAATGGCTTATTTTGTGCTTTATATATAATACTATTAATATGTTGTACATATAGAAAATTAAAAATAGTAATACTTATTTCAGAATGTGTTTCATCATAAAACCTTTTTGCCATCATTTAATTTGAGATTTACATAACTCAGTGAGGCCAGTAAGATTATTGTTACTGTGTGTTTTGTCCACTTTGTAAATGAGGACATTGAAACCGAGACTAAATAATAAATCTAAGGCCTTATATCCAATATGTAATACAACCAAGGCTAGAACTGAGATCTAACTGCTGTCCAGTTCCTTTTTCAGCATATTCTACATAGACTTACATGTGTGTGTCACATGCTGCTGAGTCAGCTCTTATGCCTACCAACACCATGAATGTGTGATGTCCACCATGTCTTGTCCTCAATGGCCACTCAGCTTCTGTAGACTCATGCCTGTCTTCTTTTATGAAGTCAGTCATCTCATAGTTAGTCTTCCCCCTTTCCTGATGCCTTCTGTTTTTCTCATAATTATTGTCTTTTCCAAAGAAACCTGCCTTCTCATGATGAACCTAAAGTAGAATAGCTTCAGCTTCACTTTTGCCATTTTTTGTTCTGGTGACATTTCAGTCTTAAAGTACTCTCAAACCCAGTGTTTTGTTTTTCTGGCAGTCCAGGGTATCTATAGAGCTCTATTCCAACACCATCTTTCAAATTAATTATTTTTTTCTGCTTTCTGACACTCAAGTAACTATTATTACATGAGGTCTATCCAGAAAAAGTCCAACCATTATTAATACAATGAGAATGATTTGTGCTACATCAGTGTAACCTGGCAGCCAAGGAGAGTGGACTGGAATGAGCATGCATAGAAACTGACAATTTCATAGTACTATTCGGTGGGGATGGTAGATGCTATTGAGTGAACATAAGCACTGCGTGGCCACCCCATTATAAATGACTGAACAACAGCAATAAAATCTGTACCAAAATTGCATTAAATTTGAACATTCCTCTGCAAAAACTATTCTGGTGATTCAGAAGGCCACAGCTATGGGCACTGGTGATTGGTGGCTTCATCATAACTCATGCATTATGTCTCCTTCAGAGTTTTTTTGCAAAATATCGAATCACCCAGGTGACTCAGCCCTGCTACAGCCCAGATTTGGTACCCTGAAACTTTTGGCATTTCCCATAACTGAAGTCACTCTTTAAAGGGAAGAGATTTCAGACCATCAATGAGATTCAGGAAAATAAGATAGGGCACCTGATGGCAATTGGGAGAACTATGTGGAGGCCCAAGGTGCCTACTTTGAAGGCGACTGAAGTGTCATTGTCCTATACTCAATGTTTCTTGCATCTTGTGTCTTCTTTGATAAATGTCTCTATACGTGGTAGTGCATGGCTGGGTACTTTCTGGACAGACCTTGTATATCAAATATCATATAAATCATTTATTCCCAAGAGAAGTTAATTGACTCACTAACTTATCATTTCATCTACTATAGCACATGGCTACAAGTGTTTGCAACTCAATTCTATTAAGGGCAAGTTAGACTCTGAACATCAATGATAGAATGGGGGATAATAATGCTTATCTCATAGAATTTTGTTAAGATTAAATGGGATTATACTTCTAAGGCTCATATCATATCTGGTCAATATATATTAGCTATTATTATCCTTTCATCACATTTTTAGAGATGATTTCTGCAATATGCATGCTCCTGATATCTGAATTGATTTCACATTGCTCCTTTCTTCTGTTCCCCAGAGGGTTTTTCCCCCTCGTGTTGTTGGCTATAAGATGGCACCAGACATTACAGAGATGATATGATATTTGAATCATAAATTATTATGTCATCTCTCTGCCTTATTGGCACATGTAGGTAAGCTTTATTAAAATATTGCTGAAGCCAAGAATTTGCCATGAAATATTATCCTTGCTAAATTTTTCCTACATTTCTGGCCCAAAGCCTTGATGTCTTGTGTTTTCAATATAATGTTTTGCTACACTTAACATATGCTAGAAATTGTCAAGTGGGAACAGAGAAGAAAAGCTCTTA